TGAGTTAAGGGATAAGGATAAGGATATAATGATTTCTAAAATATAACCAGCAGGAACCGTAAATAATTATTATTTGAGATTTTTGTTTTAAAAAGACTAATGTGATATTTTGTTTTAAACCTCAAAAATAACGTTCTTTTTACTCTTGTCCACAAAGTATATGCATTTCAACAAATCTGGAAAGCAAATGAGCTGTTATTTGTTCATGTCTATAAAGTGCATAAAAACCAGTTAAATTGTTGATTAAAACTTGTAAAAACCTCAGTAGGCCTTTTAAAATAAAAATCTCAAATAATGATTATATACGGTCCCTGATAAGTTATCAGGTTATATTATATAACCCATGTAATTATAAATTTATAATCATAAACTTAATCCATTTAAGTCAGTTTTTCTTTCGGTGTAGCCTAGCTCTAGCTCCTCAAGTGATCGGCTGGGCATCCAACTGCATTTCGCTTGGCTGGCACACGCTCAAGTTGCACCCATCCGCGTCCTCGTCTTCGTCCTCAACCATGGTCATCGTTAATCGAAAACGGGCTGCGCCGTCGCCCTGCGGTTACGAGTGTCGCCAGGCCAAAACGAACCGCAGGTTGGAGTGGAGGATGCAGAGGGGAGTGGGTGTGGGATGGAAATCCACGAAGGGGCCTTTAAGCCTGGCCAACAACTGTGCGCGTGCGCAGAGCCGCCAACCTGGCAATGTGTTCATTTCGGGCCCATATTTCGTTCGGTCGGGCAGAAATTATGCCCGGTAGTCATGCAGCTCCAGCAACTCAAGCAGCCATGCACTGAAAAAAATGTCTATACATTTGTACTTTTCATTTAAAAATATAAAGAATTTAACAGATAATTTTTTAAGTAAAAGAGGAACACGCACCCTTTAAATAATCTTTTTAACTTTTTACAAAAGACTTTTAAGCATAAACAAAAATATTCTGAACAAAAAGTTAATTTAGGACAAATAATTCATAATTTAAATATAATTATTTATTTATTTTAAACCTAAAATTGTTCAACCTCAGAACTACATTTTTTCCCGTGCTTCCGTCAATCGCAAGAAGGGGGAAATTAAAGCGAGCATTTGACTGACGGACTGACGCAGTCTCTCTGGCCAAAGTGAGTGACTAGTTGACTGCCCGACACGCGGCTTGATTGCTCGCCTTGTCCACGTCTGCGTCCAGATTCACGTCCACATCCACGTCCACGTCCACAACCGCATTCGCCTCAAATATCCGCGGAAATGGGAAACGGGAATGGGCTCGTCGGACCCGTCTATGAGAATCGGAATGGGCACTGAGTACTGCCTGCTGCATACTGGGCTTAGAAATCGAGGCAAATCAGGGACACCAAACGACCGACACCCAACCGAGACGCAGCGGTCGCACATTCGTCATTGAGGCTGTAAAGCCACAGCTACAGTCAAATTAATAGCACTTTTCACTATTTAAACCTATAATTTTAATTTTAATTTTTAATTCATATATGCTTTATTAATTTAAATTCAAATGCAGATAGAATTTTTTCGTAAACTTAACAGCTCAATAATTAAAACTTATTTTGCTGACAGGCAATTTCGTTTTTCAAAAAATACCTTTTTAAAATGGCACGCTATTTAATATTATATAAATCTGAAATTTGCTTAAATTTATTATAATACTGAATACTAAATTAGAACTTGTATTGTTAACTTCATATCTAGCATTCTGACCTCAGCTGTACTTGCATTACCAGCCGTGTAAACATGCACATTTCGCATTCGATTTTGATGCGTATTGATGGCTGCCCGGCCAGCATGACTGACGCTAAGCAGCTCCGAGATTAATGGTTCCGAATTAGTCAGTGTCACTTATTGGAACGTTGAGCTCTGCTCTCCCTCTGACACTTTGGCAGGGAAACAGATGAAGGAAAAACGTGGAAAATGAAATGGAAAAAGGGGAAGTCCACAGTACATTAGAAGCAGCTTAAGCGGACTCATTAGACCAACCGCTGAAGTCAAAATAAAAGTCAATTACAAATCAACACAATGAGTTTGTACAATTGAAGGCAGGAGATCGGAGAAAAGCCCGAAAACAGAGAGCAAAATAAAAATTAATTTCAACATTGTGTTTACGATATCATCGATCAATAACTGTCAACACAGCGGTTCGATTTTTTGAGACTGCGATGCCCTAAGTTGAGGTATATGAGTTTGTTTGAGGAGTTGAAATAAGGTAGGGAAAAATAAAAATTACCAAAGTAAGGTCTCTGCTTAAAAAAGAATTAACTAAAAAAAATTAAGATACTTTTTCGTCAATATATGAGTCATCCTTAGTTAAGCATTTTGAGAATCGCGTAGAAGGGCTCTGAAAAATTAGTACGCTTTTTAAGATCCTAAAAGAGGGCACATCAATATCGACTCGCTGCCGCCTCGAATTTCGCTGCACCCATAATGTAATACAAATTACATTCCTTGTATTTATTTCTTTACCGATTCTTGGTGATTTTCGATTTAAGATAGCGGGCGATGAGAGTGGAGATGCGAGAGACCGGAGACCACCTGGCGTCTGCAGACCCCGCTAATTGCATTGTGGGTACGTAGGGCACAAAGGAAAGTTGCCAGGTGATGATATCAGCATGATCAAGCACTTAAGTAAGTACAAATGATGGCCTGGCCCCCTTTTGAACAATCCGCCCCGTGGCTCCCTACCCCACCATCCTACCATTTGACCCTTAGTTCGCTGGATAGTACGGAAAAGTTTACAATTTGTTGATTCAACGCGCCATGAAATCGGCTTGGAACTTTGTACAACTTTAATTAACCGATTTCTGCCGGCCCAACAGCGGAGGAATGATGGTAAAAGTCATAGAAATGAGTTAAATTACATTTAAGCCGATTAAAGTTCAGCTCGGTTTCGGCAAAACGATTCGATTTGTCTCGTTTGGAAGGGCCAAGACCAAAGACCGCTCGATCGCCTGGCGGCAGATGGTTCCACTCTCAAAGTTCATTTAAAGTGGCCAAGTTAATGCGCTGGGCAAACAGACATAAAACCCCGGAGACCTGAACTCGTTCCATGCATACTTGAGCGATGATTTTTCCCAAAACCTAATTTTCAATTTACCAAAACAATTAACAACAAATTTTATTGGCTTTTAAGCCAGCCAAACACTCGAAACAGTGAGCGCATCGTAAAACCCAGAGAACCTATATACATATATATTGTATCTCACAGAGTGCCGCTATTGATCCAGCATTATTTGTTCAGCCCCTCTAGATTTGTTTGCCTTTCTGTTCTATTGAAGAAGGTACGTGTGTATCTTTTAATTAACAGCTCCGGAATGGGATCTATAAAACTGATGTAACCGAATCCGCTCTACCTATTTGATTTGTTTGATTGGCAAATGGCATGGATATGGTTCGGTTCGGTTTGGTTTGCATTCTCCACGACTTCATCGGTAAATCTTTGGAGGGGCCCCAAGTAGGTGCCAGCTAGCATGTTGTTTTGCATGTCGAACTGAGGCTCCTTGCTGCTCCAAGATGCTGCTCCAAGCTGCTCCACGTGAGTCTAGGCCTATCCAGTGCCACTGCCACAATGTGCCATAAATTTATGACACTACTAAAAATAGTAGTGGTAAATGGTAGTCATGGAGTGCAGAGGCTGGCGAATCTGGGCATCTTCGTGCTGTTATGGCGGCTGTTACACTATGTTGCCTTTGTTTCCACTGCGCATTACAAGGGAGAACGAGGAGGGAGCATTACTTATATGCAAGTGAAAATGCCATTTAAAAGCAGATAAATAAACTTAATGCGAACCAGCGCCGCGGGAGGAAAAGGAAAGATGGAAAGTGTCATTTCTGTGGATATTTATGTTGGTTATGGAGGAGAATATCCTGTGGCGCAGATGGAAGGATGGCTACTCCAGGAGTCCTCCTTGGACCTCACCCACACAACAGTACAACTAACTTGGCCAACTCTATCATTAGGCCCAGCTGAGAACCGTTAAGACAGCCTCTACCTGAAATTGACCCTTGCGTGCCACAAAATAGCGTCTGGCTTTTACCAGCAGATCTTAGCCCCTTAAATGCTGCGTTTGCGATGCGCAAAGGAAGCTATAAATAACAATTAATTGTATTATTAAACTAATTCGAAAACGCTGCGAAAGGAGGACGAAAGGCCGTCAGTCATGCGATCTGAAAGAAACCTGCCACATAAATTTTTGGTAGCCCCGCTTTTTAGCCGGCTAATTTACATTTCGTTGTGCCGTGTGGCCGGGGCAAAAGTAAAAGTACTCAAGTCGTCGAACGTCGTTTCTAAAAAATTGTGCCCCACGGCCAGAAGAGCAGGAGACCCAGACTTCGGTCCTCGGTTTTTCGGAACCCAGACCCAGCATCACATCGCTGGGACCAATCAATTATGGAATCAGTCAATGATCAGCAAGGAGCTGCCGACTCCCGCCTGCACGCAATGGCCCAAAGGATGGTCGATGGTCTCTCGCTGGTCAGTGGACCATGGCCCATGGAACCTCGAGTGTTGGCGCGAAAGTCCCAAAAACTTACACATAATGACAACAATTAACGCCCAAACTGTTGTGCCATTTATAGTCGTACAAAGGCGACGGTGGAATGGAAAGTCGTGTAAGAAAAATAAAGAAAACAATATCAGTTTTGCATAAAATCACACTGAAGAAAAGTGTTTAACTCGATTTAAAAAAAAAAACCATTTAAATAAGTATATTAAGCATATATTTAAATAATTAGCAACTTACTATTTTTTAAAGATTCGATTTTTTAAACTTAATTTAAAATTTGTTTAATTGTTTTTTACTTGGCTTATTAAAACATTGACAAACATTAAAAAGGTTTTGATTTTACCAACACAATAATAGTTTTTATTTATTTTTTTATATTGTTTATAACATTTCCTGCCCAGTTGCAATTATTTTTATAAAATATTTTAAAATTGTACACTGGGATACATCATTTTTCTTTTTCACCGTCCAAAAAGGTATAATACATAAAAACTAACAAGTGAATTACAAATTACGCAGAAGTTTATTTGGCTCGTCTAGTACGTCGCGATAGCAGCACTTTAATACCTTTCTCAATAAAGGGCTTTACATAATGGACATCCGTATAGACGCCAGGATATCGTCTGCTGGCACATCCTATCCCAAAGGACACTATGCCGCAGACTTGCTTTTCGTAAACCAAAGGACCTCCGGAGTCATAGGTGCAGGCATCCTTTTTTCCCAACACCGAGGCACAGAACATGCTGTCCGTTATAGCAGCTAAGCAAATATATTTTAAAAGTTAGTATAAAAACAGAACTATAGCTAAAGAAAAATATCTGTTTTTAAGAATTTCTGTTTTACAAAACTTACGTTGATCATAAGATGTACTCACCTGAATGCCGATAGACATCGCGGCAGAACCTCTTTTCAATCACAGGCACCGTAACCGTTCGCAGCAGCTGATCGGGACCATTGCCATCCGGATAGGTCATTCCCCAGCCGGCGACGACCAGCTTTTTGCCAGGCGTTAAGGGCGTAGAGCACAGGGATAGCATACCGATGTTTTTCCCGACCATCGGTCTATTCAGCAGCACCACAGCCACGTCCATGTTCATGGTGGACATCCGGAACTCGGCCGACTTGATGATTTCCCTAACCTGCCGACGAACTCCGCGCTCATTGAGCCTAGAAATTCCACCATCCACACTCCAGCCTTCCTTAGTATTCCGATTTTCGAAACAGTGGGCCGCCGTTAGGACGATGACATCCCGGATTAAAGCGCCGCCGCAGATAAAACTGTTGTAGTATCGCATGGCCAACAGATATCCGCCCAGTTTCTCATTGGTCGTTATATGGCCACCGATAACACGTGTCTGGTGGGCAGGACGACGAAATATCTTGGCCAATTTCGCCAAATCGATGGTCTCGTTGGTGCCGAGAGAATGGATATCTATCGAAAACAGAATGCCCACCAGCAGGCAGCAAACGAGGACACGTTGCATTGCGAGCGCAGAATAAATTTTAATATGATCTGTAACCCAATCCAAACCAAATCGTAAAAAAATCCATTCAGTGCATCTAATTGATATTTGAAAAACCTTTCACTGGGATAAGAGACGCCCTCATACTCTTTTGAATAATTAATAATATGATTATATTAAAGCAAGCATGTATTTTTAAAGATTTTGTAAAAATTTAAATGCAATTTGATTTTGTTTATCAATACCTATCAATGGGTAAGAAAATTTGTCAAATTGGATAATTCATTAAAAAGTTATAAGCAAATAAAGGAATGGCCTCTAGGTGGCATGCGTGCAAGCAGTATCTTTGCCGCTGCCAAATTTCTAACTCCCTCTCATTCTCTTTAGCTGAAAAATGGATAGGTGATGAATCATCACTGCTAGTCGAGTTACAAATTTTACTTAATGTGCGATAGTTTTTCCAATTATAAGCAAACTAATATGCTTAGCATTAGCTGTCAAAAATTAAACAATCCATAATGTAAGTGAAATATATATTTTTAAAATTATTCGTACTGAGGATGTGTTTCAAGCCACGCCTCGGCTTACACAGAATTACGAAGCAGGTGAATAAATGGCTGAATCGTCAACAGTACGCCGCTATAAGTACGGCCGCAGTAGTGGTCCAATATCATGAGGAACCGGACAAGTCGGATGGTGACCGAAAGCTTTACCGTTCCTTGAGCCTATCGAATGGATTGCGAGCCATGCTAATATCTGATCCCTATATTGAAGATCCACCAATCCAGCAGGCGTCCAGTGAAAGTATGAGTTCCTCGATTGAGCATTTTCATGGCAAATTAGCAGCTTGTGCTGTACTTGTGGGCGTTGGATCGTTCAGTGAACCGCGACAATATCAGGGATTAGCCCATTTTGTGGAACACATGATATTTATGGGATCTGAGAAATTTCCCGTTGAGAATGAATTTGACTCGTTTGTGACGAAAAGCGGAGGATTCAGTAATGCGCATACTGAGAACGAGGAGACCTGCTTCTACTTTGAGGTGGATGAGACGCATCTCGATAGGAGTATGGATCTCTTTATGAATTTGATAAAGGCTCCACTGATGCTTCCGGATGCCATGAATCGCGAACGCTCGGCTGTGCAGTCTGAATTCGAGCAGACCTATATGAGAGATGAAGTGCGTCGGGATCAGATTTTGGCGAGCTTAGCTAGTGATGACTATCCGCAGGGCACTTTCAGCTGGGGTAACTTAAAGACCCTTCAAGAGGGCGTCGATGATGGCCAGTTGCACAAGGAACTTCACAAGTTTTGCCGTGATCACTACGGTGCCAATCGAATGATAGTGGCAATCCAGGCTCAACTTTCGCTAGATGAACTGGAGGAAATGCTAATGCGACATTGTGCAGATATACCGGTTAGCCAAGAGAACTCAGTTGACGTCTCGAGGTTTAATTACCAAACAGCCTTTCGTGAAGAGTTTTTCAATGATGTCTTCCTCGTTCAGCCCGTTGAAGATGTATGCAAACTGGAGTTAACTTGGGTTGTGCCACCCATGAAGAACCTGTATCGCAGCAAGCCGGACTATTTGATCTCACAACTTCTGGGCTACGAGGGAGTTGGCAGTCTCTGTTCGTATTTACGTCGACGTCTCTGGTGTATTAGCGTGATGGCAGGAGTGGGCGGCAGTAGTTTTGACTCAAACTCGATATACTCCTTGTTCAATATTTGTATTTACCTAACTGACGATGGGTTCGATCACTTGGACGAGGTATTGGAGGCGACGTTTGCTTGGATCAAACTTATCATTAATAGCGACCAACTTCAGGCTTCTTTTAAGGAACTTCAACAAATAGCAAATAATAATTTTCGATTTCAAATTCAAATGCCCTCCATTGATAATGTTCAAAGCATGGTGGAGAGCTTGAATTACCTGTCACCGAAAGATGTGCTCACAGGACCTCAGCTTTACTTTCAATACGATGAAGCGGATATTGAGCTTCTAAGGCAGCATCTAGATAAATTTAATTTTAACATAATGATCTCATCGTACATGCCATATGAGGGAAATGAATACGATCAGAAGGAACCTTGGTTCGGAACTCAATACAAAACCATTCCGATGCCTTCAAAATGGGTAGACATGTGGCAAGAACCGGCAACACTGAAGGAATTGCACTTTCCCCAACCAAATCCCTTTGTAACCACCGATTTCACACTTCATTGGGTTGAAGCAGGAAAGCCACATATTTCAAGAAGTCCTAAGGCACTGATCAAAACCGATTTATGCGAGCTGTGGTTCCGGCAGGACAACATCTTTCAACTTCCCGATGGATACATTAACCTCTATTTCATCACTCCTCTTGTTCGAGAAAGTGTTAAGCATTATATGCTTGGAGTGCTTTACACCTATCTAGTGGAGTTCAAAATAGCTGAGCAGTTGTACCCAGCTTTAGAGGCAGGATTAACATATGGTCTTTACATCGGTGATAAAGGATTAGTTATGCGGGTCAGTGGTTACAATGAAAAGCTTCCTCTCTTGGTGGAAATAATTCTAAACGTGATGCGATCTATAGAACTAGATGTGGATCAGGTGAACTCCTTTAAGGACCTCAAAAAACGGCAAATATACAATGCTCTCATAAACGGAAGAACTCTAAACCTTGACTTGCGCCTCAACGTATTGGAAAATCAACGTTTTGGCATGATCTCCAAATATGAAGCCATTGATGCAATAACAGTAGAAGACATTAGCAACTTTAAAGATAATTTTCATAAGAAAATGTACGTTAAAGGTTTGATGCAAGGAAATTTCACTGAAGACCAAGCAAAAGAGCTAATGCAAAAGATACTTCTCACCTATAACAGCGAAAAGGTGGATAATTTGTCGGCTCTGGATAATAACCTACTTCAAATACCCCTGGGATCGCATTATTTAAGGGCCAAAACACTCAACGATGATGACTCAAATACAATTATTACAAACTACTATCAAATAGGGCCATGCGATCTTAAATTGGAATGTTTAATGGATCTGATTGAGTTAATTGTAGAGGAGCCGTTCTTCAACCAATTAAGGACCCAAGAGCAGTTGGGCTACAGCTTGGGCATTCATCAGCGAATTGGATATGGTGTCATGGCTTTTGTAATCACCATAAATACGCAAGAGACAAAGCATAAGGCTGAGTATGTTGAGCGACGTATTGAAGCCTTTCGATCTCGAATGTCCGAACTTGTCTCACAAATGAGTAATGAGGAGTTTAAGAATATCCAAGAAACTCTAATCAGTGGCAAAAGGCTGGGCGACACGAGTTTGGATGAGGAAGTTATGCGAAATTGGAGTGAAATCGTCACCAAGGAATATTTCTTTAATCGCGTCGAAATGCAAATACAAACGCTGAACAATTTGACTAAGGATGATGTTTTGAATTTCCTGAATGATTATGATAGAAATAATCTAAGAAAACTTTCTGTCCAAGTTGTGGGAAACCATACGTTGCCATCAGGATCAACCACACAGGCAAATTCTCGATCCGGATCTTTGTCAGACTTATTGGAAGATGGTCAACACGATATACCAAAGGAACAATCTAAGCCAATGGCCGAAAAGATCAGGATTGAGTTTTTGGGAGAGAACGACGACCCCTCGAATATTAAGGATATTTCGGCCTTTAAAAAATCTCTTTATGTCTATCCGCTGATCAATACGAATCCAAATCTTGCAAACAAATCTTAAAATTAATTTGAAATGTAGAAATAAATTTGTTTTGTTTTATATATATTTCTGTTAAGGACTTTAATATGTTGCTCAAAATATTTTTTTTGTATTTTTCTATTCTCCGCCAGAAAGTTTTCTATTTATTTTTTTCTAATCTCGATTAGGAGATCAAGCCTTGAATGAGTCGATCCGTAAAAACCGTAAAGTAAGCAAGAAAAAATAATTAAAGCGAAACCAAACACATAAAAGGAAAAGTATTTAAAAAATGTTTTATCCAACTCGGTTGTGAACAAGTCTTTTATTTTTTTGCCAACAGAACCTTCATGCTCTTCTCGATAAAGGGCTTCACGTAAATGACATCCGTGTAGACGCCAGGATAACGCTTGCTAGCACATCCAATGCCAAAGGAGACAATGCCGCAAACCTGCTTTTTGTAAACCAAAGGACCTCCAGAGTCAAAGGTGCACGCATCCTTCTTTCCAAGGACTGCAGCGCATAGCATACTGTCTGTTATTTTAGCTGTAAAATAAAAAAGGATATCTTTAAATATCTGTAAATATTTTACCTTATATTACAAGATTTAAATTCATTCGGTTTTTAAAGGTAATGATCAATTCTGTGAGCTCTTAAATCAAATTTCTCTTGCTGGAAAACTTTTTTTTCCAGGCCAAATGCAACTTACCCATGGGCTGATAGGCGGAACGGCATTTTTTCTTCTGTATAATTGGCACTGTGACCGTACGTAGCAAGGGCTGGGGTCCACGTCCTCTGGCAACGGTCATGCCCCAACCGGAAACAACTAGTTCAATGCCTGGATTGAGGGCTACCGAGCATAGCGAAAGTTTTCCGATACCCTTGCCTTTCATGGGACTTTTCATCAGCATTACGGCCACATCCATATTCATCTCGTCCTCTTCGAACTTTTCAGAAATGATAAAGTCCTTCACTTGGCGACGCAAACCTCTTTGATGGAGTTTCGAAATACCGCCGACCACAGTCCACTGAGCAACCTTCATCCGACCCAAAAAGCAGTGGGCCGCCGTCAGGACGATGAGCTCATGGATCAGAGCGCCACCACAGACAAAATCCCTGCCATATAGCAATGCCATTAGGTATCCTCCCAACTTTGCATTTGTGGTTATTTGGCCGCCAATGACGCGAGGGTCGTGATCTGGGGGAAGCACTATTTTGGCCAGCTTTTTTACATCGATAGTGTAATTTTTAACCGCACCAGTCTCATTTGCTAAAGACAGTGTGCGATTCGTGTCCTGGCCATGAACGTGGATCGAAATCAGAGCGCCAGCCAGCACGCAGCAATACAGAAGACTTTGCATTGGATATAGGGAACGGAATGGAATGGCACTTCCCAAAAAGAAGATCTTTTACCGAATGCAATATGTAAGCGTGGATAAATCTACTAATGTGAGACCAATGGTAGTATTGTGTGACGTAATCTAGTATAATCTCTATAATCTATTTTTCCATCATTTTATTTTCTATAGTAGCCCAGAGGTAGGTGTTCATTATTCGGTACAGAGATCCGCGGATATAGAGATCTATAGATTTTATGGGGAAATATAAGAAGGATATTGATTTTCCTTAGTTACACAAAAGATTTTTATTGTTAACCCAAATCAAAGGAATAATGATTTATAATCAAGAAAATCGACTTTGGTATATTTATTCTATTTATTAATTTATTTAACCCTTTCCTAGTAACTCTTTAATGCTCTTCTCGATAAAGGGTTTTACGTACATAATGTCGGTGTAGACGCCGGAATAACGTCTGCTGGCACAACCGATTCCAAAGGAGACGATCCCACAGATTTGTTTTTTGTAAACCAACGGACCGCCGGAGTCGAACGTGCAGGCATCTTTTTTCCCCAGCACTCCTGCACAAAACATGCTGTCTGTTATATTAACTGCAATAAAAAAGAATTCATTTCATAAAATATAATATTTTTCTGGTGGGTGATTTTGGAAACTATTTCTAAGCGAGTATATTAGGTCTTGAAAAGAAGAATATGTTATAGTTCGATTTATTACCGAATGTAGTTAGGAAATGAGGGTCTTAGATCTTTTAAAATTTAGCTTTAAATTATAAATTAACTTTTCTGCTTTATTTATTGGCTACTCTTAATTAGAGTTTAATAAGTGCGAATAAACTTTGAAAGTATTATTAAAACTTCGGCTTGATGAAGCTAGGTTCCGTAAAGAATATCCTCTAGTTCGATTTATTACCGAATGTAATTAGGAAATGCGGGTCTTAGATCTTTTAAAATTTAGCTTTAAATTATATGTTAACTTTTCTGCTTTTTTTTTATGCCTTTGCTGACCAAGGTCATATTTCAATTTATTTGCCACTTTTATATTCGCAAAAACGTTTAAGGTATTAATAAAACTTCGGTTTGATGAAGGTAGTTTCCATTCCCACAGCCCCTATATTTCCTATCCAAAATCCACACCCCACTCACCCGCTGGCGAATACGATGCACGACATGTTCTCTTGTCTAGAATTGGCACTGTAACCGTTCGCAATAGTTTATGCGGCCGAGTGCCCCTGGAATCCGTCATTCCCCAGCCAGAGACGACTAATTCAAGGCCCGGCTTGAGGTGTGTGGAGCACAGGGACAGCTTTCCGATACCTTTGCCCTTCATGGGTTTCTTGAGTCGCACCACGGCCACATCCATGTTCATGTCAACTTCCCGAAACTGGGCGGACTTGATGATTTCCTTAACCTGGCGTTGAATACCTTTGTCAAACAACCTCGAAGTAGCGCCGACCGCCAGCCATTCGTTTAGCTTCATCCGGCCCAAAAAGCAATGGGCAGCCGTCAGGACGATGAGGTCATGGATCAGAGCGCCACCGCAAATGAACTCATTTTCGTAGCGCATGGCAATTAGATAGCCGCCCAACTTTTCATTTGTTGTGACCCGACCGCCGACGACACGAGTTTGGAATTTTGGGGGCAGCACTAATTTGGATAACTTTTCCAGATCGATGGTTTCGTTTAGGTTGAGGTTCTGGTTCTGGTTCTGATTCTGGGCAAGGACATCGATCCTTGATAGAGTGGCGGCCAGCAAGCAGCAAGCCAGCAGGCGTTGCATTGCATCCGAGATAAAAATAAAACAAGCAGATTTCTAGCCCACTTCAGTATCAAAGCGTGGAGAACCCACTTAAGCTAAGCCAATGGAAATTACTCAAGACTTTGTTGTAAGGCAATTGCATTTAATTGCTGTTAATTTGAAAGTGTACGCTGTGGTCTGTGTTTGTTTGGCAGTCGGTAATTGAGCAGCGTTCGTGGATCTAGGAGAAGCTCAGGGGTCGAATCTCCTGAAGAAGCTGGCGGTTGGCATCGCGATTCCGGACATCCGTGGCATATGAATACATTGAGTTGATCAGCTGATGCAGATCCGAGTAGGTCTAAAGGGGTAACATTTAATATTTTAGAACATCTTTTGGTAAACCTTACCCCAATATTACGCCACGTATTCTTGAAGTTCAGTTTAATCGAATTCAGGTCCTCCGTGCAGAGCTCCGAAACCTCTACGAAGGTTGAGACTTCGGGTGTTACCCGTACCGTGACCTCTGAACCGTCTTGCACATCCTTGGTATTCCGCAGGCAGAGCACCATATCCCGATCCGTGGCCAGGCGATTCCACTGGCTGCGGCAGAACTTCATCAGCTTGACATGCACAGCGATGGCATCGTAAATGTGCAACTCCGCGGCCAGGTGCTTCTGCGAGAAATATCCCTGATCGATGTAGAAACAAGCGTCCAGCTCCGCAAACACATTCAGGTTCATATCCTGAAGGCGCTGTAATTGGGTTATAAAGTAAATAATAAAATATTCTTACAAGCTTTAGTCACGAACCTTGCGAAGCTCGACGAAATCCGAGACGGGTGTCTCGATTTCTATATATTTATGGGGTCTGGCAATGTACTCCTTGGGTATATCAATCGCATGACACCGAATGCCATCCCTGCTGATAAAGAAAATCACACGTACATGATAGGTGTCCAAGGTGAAGATGATCTCATCGGGACTACAAAGGTAAATATTTAAGAATTATAAAAATAATAGTATTTATATCACTTACTTTTCCTCGTTCTTTTCTAGCTCCCAGTGACTAAAGGGAAAATGCGTGTATCGCGGGTAGGCGAATCCAAAGTTGCCCAAGCGATCTGTCTTAATCGTAATGACCTTACTCTCCTTGTCGAACTTCGATTCCAGGATATTCTTAGTGGTCCAGTTCACGACCTTTATGGTCTCGTAACTCCGAGAAACACTTTCCGATGGCAGACGACTTTCTTTTCTGATCTTTCGCAAGGGTTCGTTGGGCTCACTGGATTCACTGACATCATAGTCATATTCACCCGTTCGGAATTCTGCCATGGTCACGGTGCTAACGTCCAATCCTAATTGTCTAGTAGACCGTCTCACGAAAGAACTCTGTCGGCGAGATCGACTCGTGCCAAGTGGATCCTGATGAGTGCGGCGAGTACTCATTCGGACAGCTTGAGTGTTCTGATCGGTTATCTTTTTCGGAGCGTCCGTGTATTTGTCCTTGATCTCGTCCAGCGTGAGTAGAAGGCCATACATCGAAGTATCCTCGTTCGATCTATATTCTCGGCCAGGCTCCAGTTGGAGGTCCTTCGTCGCAGGAAACCTTGGATATGTTCGCTCGGGATTCGACTGATCCTCGTAGTTGAAGAAGTAGTCCCCAATGTGCGTAGATACCACAGAGTCCGCTTCTCGCCGCCTATAAAGCTGCGTGGTATGAGCCTTTTTGATGGCCAATTCTTCGAGATCGCCATCCCTGAACTCCTGCGGGAATTTAAACGAGGATATGATTCGGGGTAGACAGTGCTCCTGAAGCAGGTGAATCTTCCTCCTTGACAGCGGCTCCCCACGCAGCTGAAAGTTTTCCAATGGACCCTGAAATGCGCGGTCCTGTTCCCAACTTCCCTGTCGCACCATCGCCAATGCCGAGGGTCTATAAATGTTAATCGAATTATCCCGCGAGGGCTTGTCGTATTTTGGCTTGGTAGTCTCTTCTGGAATTTCTTCTTTCACAATTATACCCTTTGTGGGAGTATTTGTGGGCTTTCGAGAAGGCTTACGCGTCAGTTTTTTCTTTTTATCCATATTTTCCGTCACTTTTTCCGCTTCAACTACCTGCAGTCTTTCGATTTCGTCCTCAACAAATTGACAAACCATGGGTTCACCCCATAGGCACAAATGGTTGGGCACCTTGAAAGTGAGAAAATAGAACGGCAGCTCATCTGGGTCCAAGTGTAACTTAAAATCAGGAGCTTCTTCAAGTTTGGAATCTCGTCTTATTTCCAAACTAACTCTAGTGGACCGCCTTACAGGATCCCCACTTATTTCATCCAATACATCCACTTGCTTATGCAAAACACGTCCATCTTCGTGCAATGTTATGTTGAACTTTTCAAAGGCGGTATGCTTGGCCTTTCGCACAAAAACGATCGAGATAACGCCGCCTATTATGATAAAACGTCGCAAGTTCACCTATAAGTTTAGATATAATTAAGAGAAAATCTAACAGGACACTGTGTTTAAGATACATTACCTCGAACGGCAGCAAGTTTATATTGTCTGGGTGAAAATTTCTATTGAAGAAGTCGTGACAATCTCGTTTTTCGTGCTCGAGAAATATCTTGTAGGGGTCTGGAAACATGCCAACGGGTAATTCTTGCGGCATTTTCGGAGCTTTTGGCTTGGATTTCTTTCTTATTCCTTTCATTTCTGGTTCCTTTTTATGTTTTGCTTCTGTCGCTAAGAATACACTTAAAAATAATGCGAATATATTACCGATAAACCCTTTTACACAATCCATAATCATATTTACGCCATTTCCTCATTGTAAATCTGCATTTGCGTGTTCATTTTTGTCATGATATCCTCCTGAATATCCATCTGGGTCATCCATTCGGTCGTCATACTATCCCCGATGTCCACTAGACCACAATTTGGGGTCATGGAACCTTCGATGGCCAGCTCATAGCTTTTGGCCAGCGGTGAGAAGGGGTCGAAGAAGGTGTGCACACACCGCAGGGTCAGATTGTCGCAAAGCACACTGAGTGGCAGTTGAAGAGTGACACCAACCCAGTTGAGATCGCAGCTCATAATAGGTAGCCTTAAAATTAATTAGAATAAAATATATATATCCGAAATCCCACTTAAGCAGTGGTGGCCAGCAAAAGCATCGCGTTTGTGTGACGTTTTTATGCTTTACAGCGTACGTGTGCGTCGAAACGCTAGCAGCGCAGCGGCAGAGAATCTGCTGGGCACCACTGCACTAACATCAATCACTTACTTCATATACTTGAAACGAATGGGTACATCCTGTAGTCCCCAAATCTGGAAATCAAAATGGTCGCAGTTATAGCAATAGTACGTCAAGATACTACCCTTGTTTCTAAAAAATAAATCTAAGGTTAGCTAAGGTAAGTATTTTGGTAAACTCAAACCACCTTACGTCATATGTGATTCGGGGGCACAGATTACGCGATATGTGAGCCGATCGAAGAACGTATCTATATCTGCATGCAGTTCCGAGGGCATCTAGAAGAAGAACTATAGTGGCTCCTCATTTGTACGTATTTATTACCTTATCCAGTTCAAGGATTTGAAAGTTTGGCAAGCGAAGGAGCTCGTTATCGTTGCGTAAAACTCTTTCCACGCGTCTAATGGTTTCCAGAATACGCTGCACAGTTTCACCATAGAGCTGACCGATATTTGGTCTTGTATCTTCCAAGTTCCTCCGCGTCATGTCCTTGCGATCAGGAGCGTGCGATAGTATGCTGTGCTCGTCCACCGGAAGCAGCCAGCTGATATCACCTGTGCAGGACTCTTTCTCCAAGAACTTTAGTTGGAAGATGAACTTCCGAATTTCGGCAGGACGATTGGGGTTTGGAAGACCGTCACAGGCCAAGTAATTGTTCCATTTCTCTTCCTTTAACTGTTGCTTCAGCAATTCCTTGTGCTCGTCGATGGCATCTGAATAGAAAAACATTCTTGTTACTATTAAGATAATTATTTAGTGTTCTTTACCATCAATCAGAGCTACACTGGTTTTAAGGTCCGCCAAACGCTGCATATATGTATTTCTCCGTGCCATCCACTCATCCTCCGTAAGAAGTTCCACGTTGGGCTTGTGGAAAACCGGGACCTTGCTTTTTCTTTTTACCATTTTTTTTTTTTTTTTTTTTTTTTGTGTATTTTGTGTGTGTGCTTGTGTCAGTTTGTAAATGTAATTGACAGCAAGGTCATTTTGAAAAAAAATCACTTTAGTTGGAGAATATGAATTATTGAAAAATTTATACACAAGTGCCGACGATTCTAGGAGTAACTTAGAGGACGTATCTCATTCAGAAGCCTCTTGATGTAGACAAAAAGCATGGCTTCTTTGTTACTGCCCTCCTGGGCATGGGGATTCAACGATTGGATGGCCTGACCGAAATCGTTATAGTTCTGCGAATCACAGAGAATCCAATTATGTTAAAAAATATCGGTTTCATCGATATTTTTGATAATATCGATACAATATAACATCGATATAATATAAGCTCTAATAACTACTCACGTTAACGTTCCGCCAAGTTTCCTCGTAACGAAGCTTGACCACTTTTATATCATCCGAACACATCTCGGAGACCTTGACAAACGTTGTCTTCTCTGGAGTTATACGCATTGTGACCTCCGTGTAGTCCGTGTTGTCCTTGGCTATCTTCATGTCCATAATGATATCGCGTCGTGTGGCCAGACGATTCCAGCTGGATCGGTTGAATTTCATCAACTTGCATTGCAGGGCCATGGTATTGTAGGTGTGCAGCTCAGTGGCCACATGCTTGACGGAGAAGTAACCGTTTTTGATGTAATAGCTGGCATCGTTTTCCGCAAAGATGTTCAAATTCTTTTCCACGAGCAACTACAAAGGGAGTTGCCTTTGAATGGGAAGGATTTTCTATAGAAACCTATAGGTATACCTTACGCAATACGCGAAAGTCTGATATCGGCTCCACTATCTCCAGATATTTAACTGGCTTGGCCGTATAACCCTTGGTCAGATCAGTCACATAGCCACGCACTCCCTGGGATGTGATGTAGAAGAACATTCGCACATGGAACGTGTCGAGGCTAAGAATGATCTCATCGGGACTACATGGGTTAGGATGGTGATACACAAAGGATCTCAATGGATGGTAAAACCTCTTACTTATCCTCATTGGGCTGCAGACACCAATCGCCGAAAGGAAAGTGCTCGTATCGTTTGAAGGCCAGTCCGAAAATGCCCAATCGAGTCGTCCTGAAGGTGAGCGTGTTGGTCACTTGGTCATTTGTCGATTCGATAATGTGCTCTTTCGTCCAGTGATCCAGCAACACAGGTGGTTCCTTTTCTTCCTGGCGAAATTTCGAGAGGTCCTCCACCTTTCCAGACTTTCGTGTCGATCGCCGCTTGCTCACAGAACCACTTCTTCTGGTTGTCTTATGTTCAGAACCTCTTGGCTGGTCCGAATCTCTGTTTTTTCCGATTTTTTGATCTGAACCACTAGACTTAAACTTAAGATTGCCATCTGTAATACTCTTTCGGTCCCTCGCATCTGTAACACTCTTTCTGTCATTTACATCTGTGAAACTCCTTCGGTCACTTGAACGCGAAGGGTTTAGATTGGAAGCACTTTTACTGCCTTCTGCATTTTTTTTCTCCAACTTCTTGGGTACGATTTCGATTTGGTCCAACAGTTGAAAGGGCTTGTGCACGTACTTTTCTTTGATGTCCTCCAATGTTGCCAACAATCCACAAGCAGTAGTTATTTTAGTTGAATCGGTAGGGGTCGAATATTCAGATGGAACGAATTCCAAAGGGGTTGCCTTTTCGAAAATGGGAAACATCCTTTCGGGGCGTTCTTGCATTTCGTAATCAAAGTTTTCCGTTGGCGGCTTGGTCTCCACAGCCATTTCGGTTTCAGTCCTTTTCAGCAAGCGATTTGGTTTCGACTTGAGGGCTTCTGCCGTCAGATTGTCTTCCGTAAATTCACTTGGTAGCTTAAAGGAAGAAATTATGCGAGGCAAACACATTTTCTCTAACTTCATAATTTCTATCTTATTCAAAGCCTTGTCCAGAGGAAAATCTTTGATGGGCATTCCTTTTTCCAGGATATGTGCATAGGAAACACTATGTTTTAGGAATGATCTTAGGGTTGGATTGAACTGGTTGGCAATTGATCGGTTGCCGCTCTCTCCCGTTTGAGTTAATTGAGATGATATCCGTTGGGGATCGATTATATTAAGCGTTACGAGAGTATTCCTGTCCGGTGTCCGTGGTGGTGCCTCCACTTCTCTCAAATAGTGACAAACCACCGGTTTGCCCCATCTGCAGAGATCTGGCGGCAACTTCACGGTGACAACGAAGAACGGCAGCTCATCATCCCCCAGTTTCATTTGGCTGCCACGAAAAGTCATTCTAGTGAACTCGCTAATATGGGAGCTTCGGCCATCAACTTCGGCCACCACATCGGCAATGACTTTCAGAACACGACCATCCTCGTGCAAGACTATATTGAACTTCTCGAATTGCGTTTGGTCAGGTCGACGCACGAATGTAATGTTATAGATTCCTCCTATGATCATATACTCCCTAAGATTTATCTAGGGATATTTTATTAGGTGTTAAAAGTGTGGCTCTTACAATATATATCTTACCTCCTCGGACGACAAATTTAGAAGTTTCGGATCGAAGTAGTTCTCCAAAAACTTCTTGTATTGCTCATCCTCACGACTAAGAAACTCATCATATATTTCGGGATACATTCCTTGCGGTACGAGGGGCACAACCTTCGGGGTCTTCGGGATGACGATCTTCGGGTGCTTACTACCATCGGTGGTCTTACCAAACTTGGCATCCTTAGCAGCCTGTTCGGTCCTCTCGACAATGAGCTGCATTAGCTGCTCGTACTCCTCTCGCTTTTGATTCATATTGTCCAAAGTCTCCTCCTGAATGTCTTGCTGCATCAGCCATTCACCAACCACCGAGTCTTCCATGTCGGTTATTCCACAATTGGGAACCATAAAGGTGTCCATCGTCAGTGGTTCGTAGCTCTTGGCGTCCTCGGAACGGTGGTCAAAATTGGTGTGAACACAGCGAAGGGTGACGCAATCCCAGAGGACGCTCACCGGTATCTGAACCTGGACACCTGTGGCCTTAAAGTCGGCCAACATTAATGGAACGCTGTAAAGAGATACGTCCTTTGTTGATAATTTCATATAGCTTTAAAGCATTTCCCAAAAAGCTTACTCCAACTGCTCAAAGATTATGGGAACGTTGTAAAGACCCCAAAGATCCATGCGCCATTGATCACATGAGTAACTCCACCTAGCCACTATACCATTAATGGATCTTGAATAAAATTATTAATTTTTATATCACAATGAAATTAAAACACTTACTCCATGTAAACCTTCTGCATTCGCAATATCCTGTAAGTAAGACGATCAAAGAGGTTTTCGATCTCCCTTTGGACGTCTCCGTAAACCTCCATGAGATCCATTTGCACTTTAAAATTTATGCGCTCCATTTCCACCTCGTTGTCCATCAAAACATCCACCTGTCGCAATACTTCCAGGCAATTCTTTAAATTCTTCTCAAAATATGAGCCCGGATTGTCTACAGACGTTTTCTCCAATGTCGATCGTGTAAGGTCCTTCGTATAAATATTTTGAGTAAGAATACTACGCTCATCCACCCCCAGAGTCCAGTCAATGGAGTTCTGGGTTTCGATCTCTTCAAAGTGACGAATCTTGGCCAAGAAAGTTCTAATCTCGACTGGAGATCGGACTTTGGGCAACCCATCACACCGGGTAAACTGATCCCAGCGCTCTTGATTCGTCCGTTCTTCCTCCAGATTTCTAAATTGAGCGAGTGAATCTAGGAATAGGAGCTGAATTAGGATTTTTACCATTATGTACTCAATCGATTTCAATTACTCTTGAAGTTGGAACAAGCGGCACCAATGTCATGCAGTCGGATGGTGTAATTTTTTTGTCGCTCCATCATTTCGGCTTCGCTTATGAGACCAGGTGCTTCCGTAGCTGGAACCACAGCCCCCTTAGCCATCTTAACCATTTTGCCAAAATACCACTGTTAATATCCTCCTCAATAGTTTTTGTATTTTATTTTATTTTTTATGTTTTGTGTTTTTATGATGTTTTATTGTTTGGTGGTTGAGTATTCGTATACATCTGAAGGTTGAAACAAGGATGGTGTGTGGGCAATGAAGTTTGATGTTGACATCGGGATTTATTAGAAATTGTGCATATAAAACCTTTTCCAGGAATTATACCTCAAATAAGTGCAAATTAAAGGTTTAATTTTAAATTCTTCACTTATAAAAACGTTTTACTCTATCAAGTTAGACACTAAAAATTGCCAAGCTCTTTAAAAGAGTTCATATTGTATTGAAGGTTAGCAAGTTTGGATTTACAAAATATAGATAAATTCTACGAAAAGCTTAATAGCCTTATCTCTTTCAGCATTCGCATTACATAATGTAGAAGAATGGAGTCCTTATTACGCACTTCTGTGGCATTGGGGACCATCGAGTTTATGGCCTGATGCAGATCGGTGAAATTCTGCAATACATTTTTTTTTAATACCATCTGCAGGTTAGCATTAATTATAACACTTACGCTGATGTTTCTCCAAGTGTCAGTATAGGTGAGCACGATCACGTTCACTTTGTCCGAACAATTCTCTGAAATCTGAACGAAGGTGGTCTTCTCGGGAGTAATTCGCATTGTTACCTCTGAATAATCCGATACATCCTTGGCGATCTTCATGCCCATGATAATATCGCGTCGCGAGGCCAATCGATTCCAGCTCGATCGATAAAACTTCATTAGTTTGCAATGGAGAGCCATGATGTTGTAGGTGTGCAACTCAAGGGCCACGTGCTTCATGGAAAAGTATCCGTTTTCGATATAGAAACTAGCATCGTTCTCGGCAAATATATTAATATTCTTGCTAATGAACATCTGTGAAAGGATATCGGTTATTAATTTTGATAAATCGATCAATACCACTATCGGTACTATCGATGGTATTAACATTTATATTTTCAATAAATTTTTTTTTAATTTTTCTAGTTTTTTTTTAATTTGTTTATATAGATAAAATCGTTAGTGGCCAATATAGATAGTCAAAACTATCGATAGCTTCGGTTCTAAGAGAACCACCATATTACAGACTTACCTGACGCATTTGACGAAAGTCTGATATCGGCTCCACTATCTCAAGATACTTAACTGGCTTGGCCGTGTATCCCTTGCTCAGATCGGTCACGTAGCCCCGAACGCCCTTGGATGTGATGTAGAAAAATATGCGGACATGGAATGTATCCACGTTTAGAATGATCTCATCCGGACTGTAAATGGAATGGTATTACCTGAGATCTCTATTAAAATACTTACTTTTCCTCACTCGGCTGCAGTGACCATTCGCGAAAGGGAAAATGCTCGTACCGCTTGAAGGCCAAACCGAAAAATCCCAGACGATCAGTCTTGAAGGTGATTCTGCCCGTTTCCTTGTTTAGTGTCGGGTCCTTAATGTACTTTGTGGTCCAATGGGTCACTTCCTGCTCGATCATCTGGTCCGTCGCTGATTTGGAGGTGATGCTACTTGCTTCCGGCTTTTCCCCCTTGATGCTTGTGCGTACTTTTTCATTAAATTTTGATAATTTTCGCTTGCCTGTCGAAGCCTCTGGTAACTCTTCTTCGTCCTTTAATGCTAATTTTTTGAGCTTGGGTTTCTTATCCTGCTCGTCGGGCTGACTCAAAAGCTCAACGGGTTTTTCCCGGTACTTGGCTTTGATGGTGTCAAAAGTTTTTAAAAGTCCAAGCGCAGTAGTCGCACTAAGTGGCTGTGGTTCCGAGTCCTCGGAGAGCGTGGGATATTGCACAGGATCAACGGTGGGAAAGTAAGGAAACATTCGCTCCGCATTAATCGCTTGGGACTCAAAATCGAAATCCAGGTTCTTGACCGGAACAACGACTTCCTCGGCTTCGGCACGTTTGACTAAGCCCTTAATGCCCTGTCTGCCCACCTCTCGCTTGTCCTCGCGAAAATCGGCGGGTAACTTAAAGGACGAGATTATACGGGGTATGACATGTTTCTCCAAGGTTCTCGTCTCCAAATGATTCAATTGCTTCTTCAATTCAAAGTCCTCCAAAGGAATTTCGACTACCGGCGCCGTTTCTAATCGACTTTGTCGAAGGAACGATCGAAGTGTGGGTCGAAATATATTTGAAGAATCTGAGATCCTTAATCCTGAGATTCGACTACCAAGATTAATGGTACCATCCAACCTCTCGGCATACTCCGAATGTCTTATTTCGCTCTGCAAGGTTGGCGTCCAGACTGATTCGCGCTTATAATCGACCGGAATTTGATCGATTTCCGTCAAGAAATGGCATACTACAGGCTCACTCCACTTGCACAGATCCTTGGGCAACTGCAGGGCCACGATGAAATAAGGCAACTCATCATCCTCCAGCTTGATCTTGGTGTTCCGGTACGTCTCCCTGGTCCTTCTGGCAATATCAGAATTCCTCAGCCGTTCTCCCTCGATTTCGGCCTTCATTTCGGGCATGCTGTGCAGAACCCGTCCATCCTCGTGCAAAACAATGTTGAACTTCTCGAACTGCGTTTGCTCAGGTCGTCGAACGAACATGATCGCATAGATGCCACCCAGCATGATGCGCTCCCTGAGATTTATCTATAAAAAGTGTGTTAATCTCATATTAGTATTTATAATATACTCTTAAGTTATTAAAAAAAATTATCATTGAAATATGTTATTTAAATTATACTTGATAATTATTAAAAATATTATAAAATATCAATGCTAGATCTAAAGAATTCGCGCTTCTCTAGAACATACCATGCAATTACCCACCTCAAAAGGCTGCATATCCAGATGCCTTGGATGATATACCTCATCGAGATAGCCCGAGTACTGGGCGTCCTCTGTTCTAAGAAAATCGCTGTAGATATCGGGATACATGCCCGGCGGAACTGCTGGCGGCTCTTTGGGAGCCTTGGGTATTACAATTTTTACCGCTTTATCGGGATCCGTTTGCTTGGCCGCCTTTGCAGCTGCCTCCGTTCTCTCGGCGATGAGCTCCATCATTTCCTCATACTCTCTCCGCCTGCTCAACATCAGATTCATGGTCTCCTCCTGAATTTCCTGCTGCATTACCCATTCGTTGATCACCGATTCCTCTATATCCACTATGCCGGCGGTGGGATAATTGGCCGATGCAGAAATAGTTGTCTCGAAGCTCTTGGCATTCTGCGAGATGTTATCGAAATCAGTGTGCAAACTGCGAATGGTTATGCAATCTTTCAGAACACTTTTCGGTATCTGGACCTCAACACCCGAGGCCTCAAGCTCGGCCAACATAACGGGCAATCTGAGAAATAATCTGTATTATTAATGCTATTAAAAGAATCCGGGTGAAGAACTTACTCTAGTTGAGCAAAGATAATTGGTACATTCCGCAGACCCCACAAATCCAATTTCCAAGGCTTACAGGTGTAGCTCCACTTGGCAACTCTACCATCTGCAGAACTAAGGCATATAAAGTTTAATAAGTGATCTGTAATATAATCTATACTCACTCCATATAGGCATCTTGCATTTTCAATATTCGATAGGTAAGACGATCAAAGATATCATCGATTTCCAGCTCGACTTCGGTATAAACCTATTGAATAATTGGAAATCTATATCATCTTGTTTCCCCTATCCAATATTAACCAACTTCCATGACATCCGCCTGTCTTTTCTTGGACATTCGCACCATTTCGGCCTCGTTGTCCAGCATAGAATCCATTTCAGTTAATGCATCCAAACACATCTGAACATTCTGATCGTAGTGTGTGCCCGGATTATCTTTGGTCAGCTTCATTGTGCATCGCGTTTTGTCCACCCTGAAGATATTCTGATTCAATATAGACCGTTCGTCCACCGACAACGTCCAATCCATCGAATTTTTTGTCTCAAAATCATCGTAAAACCGCATCTTTGAGATAAACTCCCTTATTTCGACGGGAAGATAGGGGCGTGGCAGTCCATCGCAACGCAAATGATGTTCCCAGTGCTCCCTGAACATTCTCTCAACCTCCTGTTCATAAAAGTCGCTATGAGCATCTGCATCGAAGGGGTTTTTATTACTTAATTTTGGGACTAGGAACTTTATTGCTTACGCTTTACTAAGTCTGCACTAACAGTAAAATCATTAAGGCGACTCATATACTTAGCCTCCCGATCCGACATTTCACTTTCGGGCATTAGTGGAAATCTCAAAATCGGCTCCGCAGTGGCCTTGGGCGTGGCCTTCTCTCTACTTTTTCTTTTCCCCATATTAACAGATTATTAGGTGGATTTCTTCGTTATGTAGTATTAGGAAAGGTAATCGATCGTGTGATATGGAAAATATAGGCTTACTGCTTTGACATAAGTTTCGAGTTTGTGAAAGCCAACTTGTTTGAGCACAGAAATTTAGATTTTTTTAAATACTATCTAATTATTATTATAGGCAATTTATAATTTCCTTTTTAACCTGGCTATAAATAAATAAATAAATGAAACTAATTATTAGACATCGTTTAATATGCACAGACGTATTCTAAACATTCAAGTCATGGCGATCTTGGATTAAAGATCAATTGGTATCAAAAATTTAAAATTAAATTTGATCTAAATTGAGCTCGCTTAAGAATACTGTGCTGCATATAATTTGATGTCTACTTAATTTATTAAATTATTAGAATTTATTTCCTAATTTGATTCTTAAATTCAACTTAAACAAGAGAGAACGCTATAGTCGGGTGCCCCGACTATCAGATACCCGTTACTCAGCTAAAGGGAGTGCGAAGGAGATGGAGAAAAACTTTGATCCGCCGTAACTTTTTAACGAATGGTCCGATTTAAAAAATTTCTTCTACATTTCGATAGGTATTGATAAACACCATAAAACTGCATTTTTACTTTTCCGAAATATTGAAATTTTTAAAATCGTATATAAGCGATTGTGGGCGTTAGAGGGGGCGTGGCACCCTTTTGAAACAAAATTGCGCTGCGTTCATACAGACAGACAGACGGACTGACGGACAGACAGACGGACTGACGGACAGACAGACGGACAGACGGAAATGGCTAGATCGACTCGGCTAGTGATCCTGATCAAGATAAATATATAGTTTATAGGGTCGGAAACGCTTCCTTCTACCTGTTACATACTTTTGCACGAATCTAATATACCCTTTTACTCTACGAGTAACGGGTATAAAAATATATATTCTAATAAATCCCAGTTTATATCAGGGCTGTGAACCCATATTATTTTTGCATGGGTTCGGTTCGGGGTTCAAACCTAATCGACGGATAATGTTCCGGTTTGCGAACCGGTTCAATGATAAGCCGGAGCAGGGTTCAGGTTCGAACCAGGGTTCAAAAAAATAAATTTTTGTTTAATGAAATAATAAAGTCAACATTTATTTCCATGTATTTTCATTGAAATATGTACCATATCATTAATAATAAGTAAAATTACAAGATTTTTGATTTATAAAGTGCTTACCAGTTAAGGCAAAGAGTATATACTTTTAGATTTAATCATGTAATTTTAACGTGGGCATACTGCGAAAATATTTGAAAGATGATAGTTATATATTATTAGATTGTTTGCATAGACAAAATATTTGAGCATTTTTATTTCCCTTAGTAAATAAATTCTATGTTAATATGATCAGAAAACCCCCCACAATTCTGAATAAAAAACCCGAACACACAAATTAAATTTTTCGTGAACCGAACCGAGTATCAAAAAAAAGTTCCGGTTCGGTTCCGGTTCAATTATAAACAAATTCGCCGCTCCGGTTTACGGTTCGGTTCGTTTTCTAAAAAAAAGTCAACCACTCTGGTTCGTAGTGGTTCAGCTCCGGAGCAGTTCACAGCCCTGGTTTATATTACTTTGAAAATACAAAAAGTAAAGAGCACTCATGTAAACAATTTTCAAGATTTTCTCCTCTGGCTGAGATCCAGAAAACGGAAAAGGCATAATCTAATGCCAAACTTTGGCCACAAAAACTCAGTCGAACTGAGTGAATGTGGGTGCGGTGGTTCCGCCCCAACAAAAACGCAACTCCCCACACGAAGCCGGGAGATTTATCTTGGCCTTTTGCCTGCATTCGTGCCAGGAAAATGGCATATCAACCTGAGAGAGGAGAAAGTGTAGATGCAAAGCCGGGGATAAGCCCCAAGTCGAGTCGAGTCAAAGTCAAAGTAGAGTCAAAAGCTGGAAAGACAAAAGACCAAAGACAATAGCTCGTTTCCAATAAATTGATTAAATTTTATGTTGCATTGTGGGCAGACGTATATCTCTCTCCCAGGCTCCATTTACATACGAAGAGCCATGTTACGTGGCATGTCAATCGTCAAAGGCCGTCGTCCACGTCTGATCGATTACATTGATGAATGAATTTCAACAAGCCATTCGCATTACTGGCCGTCAAACGAGAAGGACACAGGCTGCATTCCATTTGCCAAAGCCTCGAAGCCTGGATGTTTGGATGCCTGGCCTTATTTATTTGTTGCAAGCTGTCTTTTAAATAAATTCGTTGTCGAAACGTCGTTGATCCCTGTTCGATGGCCATCAGAGTTGGTTCCAATTTAATGAACTTTACATTTCTTGCCCCATTAGGAGGCAATAGTTTTGACACCTTTACCTATAAGTAGGGGCCCCCAATCAATATCAATTGATCCCCCTTTTTCCTGGTTGAAATGACGAACAAATCGCTTGGCTGCCATGCAATCATTCAATTATAATTTGCAACAAGGAGCGAGATCTGCAGGTCCGCAAATAATAACGATTTCGTAGCCAACAATTGGATGACTTGCCACGTAGCCTGGATGGATTGTTGCAACTGGCAACTCACAACTGGCAACTAGCAGCTCACAACTTGCAACTTGGCTAGCTAACGAGTTCGGCCAGCAATTTTCGTCCCCAATCGAATCCAATCCGAATCCGCGGCGATCCAAAATTGCTAGCGCTCAACTAAATCGAAACGAAATCGAAATAGAAGAGCTAGTCGCGAAGTCAGAGCTTCCCGCTCCGGGCAAAAATAATTGACATCTGTATAAGTCTGCTATTTGCTATTTGAGCTGCAGTCGGAACTCTGCTGCAGTGGATAACTGGATAACAAGTGGCCAAGTTGTGTTGTCCGCGAGTTTGTCGTTATCTGGCTGCCTTGCTGTCTGTCTATTTTTCACCTGCACTCCGATTGCATTTCAGCTCTGATAAATTACGCCAAAAACTGAAGCAAACTCACACGGGGAAAAATATGGTCACAGAAATGTTATTTCATAATGTTTTTACCTAATGATTAAAAATGCATGTAATAGTAATGAATTGTTTCTGAATCTATATTTATTTATATATTTATCTTTATATTTAAAAGTTTTTCAGAGTCACATTCTACATTCCGTCTTAATCCAAATCATCTTTTAATCAAATTTATTAAATTTTTATTTTAATTTAAAAATTGGGTGTGAAAATTCTAAAACTTATTTAGGTCTGTTTTCTCGTCCGGGATAAATCCTTGAAAAGGCATGAGAATTCCGAGTTTAAAGCATACTTTAAATTTGACATAAGGACTAAAAAACATCCTTAAGAGGTTCCATATGCATATAAATTAAGCCTTAATCATTATTTTTTTATGATTAAAAATAGAATATTTAAAAAATTAACTTCTCTGTTAATGAAATATCCAAATAATTGAAGTTAATTTTGTGGTGACACTCATCCAGGGAGTGCAATCTTTGGGAAAGACTCTGCGGGAAAGTGTCAGTCAATGATTTGACCCAATGGTCCATTGGTGGACCAGCCCCTTGTAAAATGAGGCGGCGCTTTCTAATCGCCGCCAAATGGTGGCCGGGCCACATGTTGGCATGTAAATGTTGACAGCAACATGTTTACCGTTTGCCTCTGTTTAACTTAGTAAAACACCCTACCCGTCCCTCTTCCCCTTGCCTCGAATCGCGTTTTAACAATGTGGAAACTTTTGGCATTTACATGAGAATTGTAAGCGCAAACATTTTGGTTTTTTTTTTCGTCTTTATCCGTATCTTTTCCTCTTACCCATGCACAATATGAGCATAGAAGTTGTCCGGCAAAAACAAGATGCAGCTGCCGCTGCTGTTGCCATTGTTGTCCGTCTTGATGGTTGAGCAACAAATTGAGTCTAATTAATTTTCAGCAAACTGCAAAGACTGAATACATTGTCTCCCCTCTTATACCCTAGCCAACTTGGGTCTAATTAGCGTGGTCAGTAGATGAGAAAGGCTTTGTAAAAGACATTTCTCTAAATGAAAGAAAGTTATAACACACAACAAAATATATTATGAGCATTATAATTGGAAATACAAATTTTGAAACAAATATTCCCTTAAAAATAAATACTTTTACCATTATGGACTAAAATTTAATTTGGTTTTTAAATTATTTTCTGAATTTAAAGACATTATAGATAATATACTTAAATCTGTAAAAATCTAAACAATTTTTAGCTAAAAAATCTTAGTTTATTTTAAAATAAACAGAAGAAAATTGTATTTCTTTAAATTATTCACTGTATTTTATTTTATTTAATTTGCATTTTAGCAATAAAACAAATATGTTAAAAATATGCCACTAATACTAATTCTTAACTAACATAATTAAAACAGAACAATCAAAAAAAATTCCAATATTTCTAAATTAATATTTCCAAATAATTCTAATAAAATATATTTAAAGCGTATTTAAAATGCCCCCTAGCTGCATTTTCGATTTTCTCCCTTGCTCCGTCTTAACGGTAGATGAATGTTTGAACAATGCACTGCCATCATGTAAAAAATAACCACAGCGGAGCAGCTGAAAATAAATAGTTGAGTTCTCGAAAATCTATGCAAAGCGACATCAAAAGACCAAACGGCCATTCAGTTAATGCCTTAGATATGCAAATCACCGGAATTCTTGGCTTCGCTGGCTCCCAGTTGATTGGCTGCCTCCATAAGCCCTGCTTAATTGTTGCATTTCCATAAAATGCGAGCTTTGTTGGGCGTTGAAGCAGCTACCGTCAAAGGAAAGTGAGCGTGGAAAGTGGAAACATATCCATTTATGATTATTTTGTTTTTATTTCTTTTATATTTTTTAGGTCTCTGTGTCAGCGAAGGGCGCTCTTTGGTGGGAACCTAAAACTCGAATTCGAATCGGAATGAAACGGTTGCGGCCGCCAAATTGACTTCTCGTGTCGACTGTTGCATGCCACACCCAGGGACCAGAGATATCGCCTGACAGCCGGCAATCCGCAGTTTGCAGTTCGCAATCCCCTGACCGGATAGCCATTGGCCAATGGTATCTGGTATCTGGTGTATATAGAGTACTGATGGCCAACGCCGGTGGCGAAAACTCAGCACTCGCCTTGGCTTATCACTCGACAGGCGACGCTGACAGGCGACAATTTGCATGGCGACCAGGGGATCACAGAACACTCATTACGAATGCGACAATCGCCAGTTGCCGGTTGCAAGTTACTCGTTTTGCCTTACCAATGTATTGCACTAAAAAAAAAAATATCCTAAACTTTAAAATAAGAATGCAAGCCAGTAGCTCAAACAGTTATCAACGAATTTAATGAATTTTCACATTCCTAGACTATTCCGAATTATATTTAAATTTTTAAAAAATGCTTAAGAAAATAATATAGATATTATCTTAGGTAAATAAATCAGTCAAAGCTGTTACAAGTCTTAATTTTGTAGCAAAAAAGAAAAATAAATATAGCAGGTACACTTCTAAAAATAAATAAAATACATTCTTTGAAACCACGAGCTTCATTCCATTTATTATCTTAATTGGTAACTAAACCATTACAAGTCTTAAGTTATAGGCAAAGAAATTACGTATTATTCTTTTCAAACCCCTTTATAAACCCCAACCTTCTGTTGTAATACCAACAATATGTCTCTACCACTCTTCTTGGTGACACTCTTTATATCTGGATCCCTGGGGATTCCATTTCGTTCGGGACCAAAGTACCAGACGGATGACTATTATACCTATGAGGGGATCCAGGAGTATCTGAAAGGCCTTGCCTACACTTATAGCAACCGAGTAAAGTTGACGGATATTGGAAAGACCTACGAGAACCGAACACTCACCACCATTACCATTTCAAACGGAGATCGGCGGACGGGAAAGAACGTGATCTTTATAGATGCCGGATTTCATGCCAGGGAATGGTTAACTCACACAGCTGCCTTAAATATCATTGATCAGCTGGTGGTGAACTTTAAAGAGAACCAGGAACTGCTAAAGGATTATGATTGGGTTATTCTACCCCTGGTGAACGCGGATGGATACACATATTCCCGGTCAGGAAATGTGTTCATAAATGAAACTATCACTTGCAATGAACCGTTAACTTCAGATCATCAGATTAAATGCTGGCGGAAGAACAGAAAACCCAGTGCTGAAGATTGCATCGGCACTGATCTTAACCGAAATTTTGAATATGATTGGGGCAAAGAAGGGGATATTAATGATCCATGCTATCTCGCATTTAAGGGTATTTCGCCATTCTCGGAGCCCGAATCTCAAGCTGTAAAAAGAGTGCTTCTCGATCTGGTGAAATCGGGACGTGGCATATTGTACCTAACGTTTCATTCTGCCATTTCCCTGATTTTGTATCCATGGGGCTCAAATGGGTAAGCCCTACATAATATATTTATTCTTTAGATATCAATATTGATTCCATTTTAGAGACAAGGCCGAAAACTTTAAAGAGCACGAGGAGGTGGCTGAAGCTGGCGTAAATGCTATGAATTTTAGGTTCCCTACAAATTACGCAGTCCTTCCCTCATTTGGTCTATATCCTGCCGGAGGAACGTCAAGTGACTATGCTTACAAAATTGGATTTCCCCTATCATTCACTTGGGAACTTCCGAAAGCACGAGGAAATTTACAGTTTACATTCCATCCACCAACGAAGCTCATTAAGGAACTTGTTGAAGAAACTTGGATTGGTATGCGCGCCATTGCTAAGAAAGCTATAGAAAAGTATCCAAAAAATAGGAATTCTATAAAATCGAATAATGAATAATTCTAATTGGAAATAAAAAATATTCTGGTATTTTAGGTGTTGTATATTTAGTAAAGTAAAGTAACTTTTTTTCAAGTGCATACTTTCCCAACAGCAACAAGTTACAATCGTCATTTGAAGTATCTGCCGCCGTCTAATTGGCAAACTTATGGCACTTTGGCCGAAGAGATACTTTTTTCGATTTGCGGGGCGTATGAGTAATGTCAGGTCATCATTATAGCGGCCACAGCTGCATTCCTACCCCTCACCCAGGTCAGACCAAATGAAATGCAAATTTTAAGTGCAGTCCCCTGTGCTGCTGGAAATGCAGTCGAAAACTCGAATATCGAACTGGATATCGAACTGCAAAACTGAAAACTGGACTTGGGCGTGTGGTTGGGGCAATGACGTGGCCGGATTGGTTTAAAATAAATGTTATTATTTCGATAAGTTGGCGTGTTTTTGCGGCTGTGCCCACATTTAATTATGCCACAAACCGGCCAGCAAAGGAGCAAAAAAATAACGCCGGCGAACGGCGAACAGCGAACGGCAACCAAAATCAATATCACTTCGTGCCGAGTTTTTAATGAACAATTGTCGGGGCACACAATTTTAGCACATTGTAAATAAGCAATTGAATTGGCGCTGGAGTGGCGTTGCAAGTTGGAAGTGAGTGGTACGAGCAATGATATCTGCTCTCTGATCCCAAAAAAAAAACCGAGTAATACAAAAAAACAACCCGGGCGCAAGCCTCCCGATAGTCGTCGCCCCCATTTGGGCTGCATTTCGCAGCCTGTTCGTTTTAATCAAATTCACATTAACAACGGCAAAGACTGCAACAACTGCAGCAATTTTAGCGCAGCTGCAGCAAAGAAGGCAAGTCACAACTTTGTATAAGACACGCTAATAACTTGCCTCTCAAATCGGGTATAATAGACCAAGTGCTATGGTTGAGCGACCAAGTTGTAATGGAATTTCGAAAACAAACACAACAACTTTTAATAACTTGACTTTTACAATCAGTAACACATAAATTATTAATACAAAAATAAATATAAATGGTTAATATCAATAAAATAAAGAAATTAAAATTTTAATAGTTCTTTGATGGAATTTAAATTTTGATATATCAAAAGATTAGCTTTTCTTAGTATTTTTCTAAGAAATTAAAATTTGTATGGTTCCTTCATGATATTTAATATTTTTATATTTTAAGTTAATAAAGGCTCTTGAACATGTGACAATTAATCACATGATAAATTATTCTAAGTCTACAAGGATTCTATATATCATATATATTTTTCGTTCTATTTCACTTGATATATATTTCAAGTACAATAATATCATTCCATACTTTGCAGATTCTGTAACTCCATTAGGAGCTCCATTTAAATCTTCATTTATCTATCCCACGGTACCTCCTCTGACGATCGGATCGATCCTAGTCCACGTTCAGTTATGGATTTCTATAGTTTTTTGTCTCGGTACACGCCCCAAAAGCAATGGCAACACAATAGCCGCCTGTTTGGACAAGTTACCAAAAATAGACCAAAGCCGGTGAAACCGAGCCAAAGGCTAAGCCAACTCAAATTGGCTGGCAGCTAAGAAAGAAAAAATGTTATGAGCAAGTCTACAGTGCGGTGGTTAGTCGGAAACTGCCGATAATTGCTGTGTGGTTTTATGGTCGAGAGTAATTCATATATAGAAAATAGCTAGAGTGCAATTCACTTTGGACATTTACGGTGATGGCGAGAAAACCGGACCAAAAAGAGCACCGATAATTGAAAATGTAGCTCGAACTCCGAATGAGTTTTCGCGATAATTTGCATGCCCAAGGTTGACGCCTCTAATTGCAGGCATAGAATCGGTAGAAATTGCAGGTTTATGCGTTTCCGAATGCCGGTGGTTCGTTAAGCGGATCTGACAGTTATTACAATGCAACGCCCCTTAATGAACTGAACCCTACCCGTTGGTCTAGGACGAAATCATATGGCCACATGGCCAGATAGTGATAAGCCATTTACGCGGACTGGCTCGAACTTGGTCTGTAGGTAGGTAGGTAATCGCGGCTGCATGTGGCAGTGCAATTTATGGGATCAACAGACCCGTTAGTGCCAAATTACAAATGGGCCCATGGCAGCCAAGTGCAAAACAGACGTGGCAATAACCAACAAGACATTAACCCGAAGCAGCGAGTCGCGGCGCATGCCTCGATACCTCCGATACCCCTTCGATGCCCCGATGCTCCGATTCCTCAATGCCTCAATGTTGCCCCAGCTGCACTGCGTTCTGGCCGCATATGCTCCATCGCCCAATAATTGCCAGCCTCAAATCTGCTCCCCTCCTTACACTAAAAAAAATAAAAGCTCTAGTTTTAATTATTTTATTTTAAGACCAGCTAGAAAATTTCTTACAATGTTTTTGGAATTTTTGGAATTTTTAAAGCTTTACCATTGCTTTCTAAGAAACAACTCTTTTTTTTTAAGTCTAACCTACAAAATCATATTCCTTCCATAAGAGTATCAAAAAAGATTTTTATAAAATAAAATGAAAACACAGGTTTTGGCTATTACAATATTGTTTTTTAAATATTTAAAAAATAACATTTTACAATAAAAATTGTTTCATTGTAATGTAATGTGTAATGTTTTTAAAATTTAAAACCTACAGTAAAACAATTTTTTTCCTTAACTTTGTTTTTTTGCCGAAAATCTGCTTAATTTATAAATATTTTAGCACAAATTCCTGTCATATTTGCCGAGTGCAGTTGCACACAATCTTTGGGGAGCGGGAAGCTGGAATCAGAGCCGCCGGCGATTTGGCCAGATACGAGTGCAGTTGCAGTTGCAAGTTTCGGAGCTCCAGCGATCCAGCGGATTGCCAGAACGGCAGACACGGCAGAGCGTCAAAAGGCCGGAGCGACGGACGGTCGGTCTGTCGCTGGCCACAAAAGCATAAAACAATAAAGTTGGGCGCTGCGCAAAAGAATAATCGCATAAATCATGCGGACTCGCGGCGGCGTCTAAACTCCACTAACGGCAACGAGGCTAAAACTCCGGAGCGGAGCTCTGGAACGAGAGTTTGGCCGGCACAGTGGCCAACAAGTGATTGGATTGTAAATTTTCCTTGTGATATAACTGAGATTATGTGCTAGTAAAAGAAACTATTATTGCAGCGCATTTTTTATTACTCGATTGCTTTCTTTACTGCTAACCGTTTTTACAAGCTGCCATGAAATACCGAGATTGTTTTCCAGCAGGATATGCATATAAATTGCTGAGGGTGGCCTCGAAAAACTTAATTAAATATTCAGTAGTTTTAGTTTAAAAAGTAAGGCGTTCGCAATTCAAAGTAAGATACCATTCATATTACAACAGCAAAGAAAAAAGTTTGTTTGAAAAAAGTTTACAAATTAAAATCAAATTAATTTATTTATTTAGTTCAAAGATATCACTTTTTATTAACGCTTGCATTTGAAGTAAAAAATATCAAAAATATCAGAAATAAGTTTTTATAATTCCCTAAAATTCAGTGGATTAAGTTTAGCTGAATATTTTAATTCTCTGCCAAATATTTTTCCATCGATCCCAAAAGCTTCAACTGCATATTGAAAAAGTTTACAATCCAATAAGAGCCTAATTGATGTAGTCGGCTCAGTGATTTTGGAATAAGTCGAGCTAGATGCTCAGATGTGCAGCGCTAATCCGCGTTGACAACCGGCCCATTGTACTCGAACGACCTGGCCCACTGTGCCACAATGCAGCGGCAACACTTTTCTTGCCTTAAGCCAAATTTATAGCGATCTAAGTAGGTATAAAGCGCTCATTTTGTGGCAACAACAGCAAACTTCAGCGACGACGACAGCGGCGACTTCGTTACGTTTTCGAGGAGTGGCCAACAGGAGTGCGGCCTTTGTTTTGGCCAAAACCAAAAGCCCCCCACCCGAAACCCCACCGAAATCCTTCTCCGCCTTCTCTTATTGTTTTTGCCTTTGTAATTTCTTTATCCCGTTGGCAGTTTGGTTCTCTACGGCCAAGAACAATAGAAATGCATTGCACGAAAGCCGCCAGGAGAGAGCGGGCCAAGAAAGAGAGAGCTGATGCTGGAGCTAAAGCCCAAAAAACCTGCGGCTAACACAAAACCGTTGACATGTACCGGAAACAATTCCATAATTTTTATAGAAATTGCCTTGGAAAGAATTCATTTTCTTAGCTTTTCGGTTTGACCAAAAAAAAATTAATTACAAATTAAAAAATGAAATTACATAGTTAGGTATTAGTCTTTTTTATCTACTTTTTTTTATATTCTTTAAGAAGTTATATTTTCTTTTATAGAGTTTGGTTCTTTAAAATTACCTTTAACAAGAAAGGAAGCTACCTTCGGCCAGCCGAAGCTTATATACCCTTGTAGATAAAAGAATACTCACTCGGTGCAGTTCCAGGGATTCCAGATTCAGCGTTTCGATTTATTTCAATTTTGTTTTTAAGTAGTCAAGAATCAAAACGCCTACTTCCTACAAAGTTAAAATGAATTTTCTTATATTTGTTTGGGAGCCTTAAGATATAGTGGTCCGATCCGGCTGGCTCCGACATATGTACTACCTGCAATAGAAAGAAGACCTTCGGGAAAGTTTCATCGCGATAGCTTTAAAACTGAGAGACTAGTTCGCATAGAAACGGACAGACGGACAGACGGACAGACGGACAGACGGACAGACGGACATGGCTAGATAGACTCGGCTATTGGTGCTGATCAAGAATATATATACTTTATGTGGTCGGAAACGTCTCCTTCACTGCTTTGCAAACATCTGACTGAAATTATAATACCCTCTACAAGGGTATAAAAATGTTTCATAATTATTATAGACCTGTATAATATCAAATATTTACAGTTGTGATACCTAATTAAAAAAAAAACTAGTATTAAAATTAAAAAAAATAATCTTTTAGAAAATTTAAATAATTTTAAAAAAAATTGTAATGCTTAGAAATCAAACTTTCTTTCAGTGCGTTAGAAAGCGGGCGCGGTTGCATATGCACCCAAAAAGGGGGAGGGCCAAAGGGAGGCTGAAAGAGGGTTCCTACCTCTGCTCACTCGTGCGCGATTTTAAAAGAACTTCTTGCCGGGACTTTCAGTTCGTTTGCCTGCTCGGCCTTTGTTGTGGTAAGCAGTTGGCCAACACTCAAAGGGTGGGGAGGGGGATTGGGAGGGGGTGTCGCTGGATAACTGGGACAAAGTTTGGGCCAACCGAAAAAAGAATCAGCTTAAATCAAGAGTGGCCATATGCGGTTGCTCAAGGGAAACGGTTGCTCAACAAAGGACGAATCATTAGGGCACGGTAAAAAATAATACTAACATTAAAATTAATTAGCACCAAAAATAAGTGATGACCCCAAAAAACTCTTTAAAGAAAATGTATAGAAATAAATTTAAATGATTAATTTTTTTATATATTTTTAAATCAACAAATGGATAACCATTTTTTAGCTCTGCCCCAAAGACAAACAAGAATTTCCTTTTATTTGATTAGCTGAGGCAAAAGGCATCCGCCTCCGCCCCCGAGTCAAAACTAGACAAATGGCATTCTAATGCCTCCCAATGGGGGTCAATCTGGACAAGTTGTTAGAAAGGTAGAGGGAAATCAGGAAAATCAGCCATTAATCACTTGATATGACAAAATGCAAACCAAAGAAATGGAACGGATCCTTTGAGAGGGTTTTTAGAGGGGCAGAGGGCCCAAGGGGCAACTGGGGTGTTAGACAGGTCAAACCGGTTTAATGCCCATGCTCCATCGCCTGATCCTCCCTTCGGTTCCTGCTACTCCTGGTCCTCCAACCTCCTGCTCCTTGCCTCATTATTATGCGCGCATTGTGCGTGGAAAGGCAACAGGAACTGGGCATTGCACATGGGCATAGGAATTTCTGAGGCCCAGCCAGCGAGCCCAGGCCAAAAACTTGAAGCGTGCTCCGATTCTCAATTGCAGTCGGTAGTATGGTGCATATGCCTCCAGGGACAATTCATGCAGCTCACAGGCGGCAGGGGGGCAAGGGGGCAAAAGGGGTTCGGTTCGAGGGAAATCGTAAAAGGAAGCCAGCCCGGCAAAACTGCAGAGCTGCTGCAAAAGTCGCAATTAAACAAAGCCCTTGCTGCAAAAACAACGCAACCCGGTGGCAACGTGTTGGCATTGCATGTTGCCAGTGCAGCAGCAACATCGGCAGCAGCAGCAGCAACTCCGCCTCAAAGGACGACTCTAAACGCATTTCCGCCAACGACGTCGCATTTTGCATTTTATGCAAAAATCGCCTATCGCAGCGATCTGGTTTTGACTTTGGGAGGCGACCATCTCCATCTCCATTCTCCATTTCCATTGGCCAAATGTGGGCTTGTCATATTTAGTTGGCAGTAGGCTGAGCAGCAGAACAAAGCGTTCGCCATAAACGCTTGCAAATCGCCAGCAAATCGCTGGGGAAACGCTTTGCTCGCCAAGCATGTTGCATTTTAAAGCGTTTTTAAACGCTAACAAAACGGTACGAAGCCGTAAAGGCATAAATACTTTAAAAGGGAAGAGTATTTGCATTTATTCAAGGTATTTCGCAACGGAAAGAGAGAGCCTCTTATATTCATGCTGTTACCAACACACTTTCCATATTGAAATTTTGCAACAAGAAATAAATGTTGAGATTTTCACCTCTGACACATTTTTTGGTGTTTTATTTTTATTTATAAGATATTCAGTCAAAACTCACAAAAATGTATTTTTAAACTATTTTTTTAGTTTTCTAATATTACAATAATATTTACTTTAATGCTAATCATTTACTTATTATGAAAATTCACATTAAATACTCCTAATTAAAAATAATCTCAAAAATAAATAAACAAACTTTATAGAACCTTTTGGATATTTTTTGGGAAATCTTTTTCGAAGTAATAAAATCTGTGGCCCCCATAAATGATCCCCAAACAGCTGTAGTCCCCTGTTTCCCATCATTTCACTTGGTGTCGCCATAAACCCTTTCGGCTTGGGATGGAGCCAAAAATTGCTCAACCAGCCCCACTCACACTGAGCCCCAAAAACAAGCTGCGGAGCCCAGCGGTTGCCCCAATTTGGTTAAAAAACTTCAGATGAACTGAGGCGTGGAAAAAATTCACTGGCCGTGTCCACAATGCAAATGAGGTCCTTTCAGCGATCCTGGACATTGGCGGTGCCTCCAACGTTTTCCATATCTCCATCCGAGGCCTCATCATCATCCTCGTTGCTGGTGACAATTTAACACAGAAATTCAGTGAAGCGTCAACTTGGGCAGGCATAAATTTACAACATTCACCGCTGACAACTCTCCCCCATCGCCGATATGTGCTTTAATTTTCCTTTTTCTTGCAGTTTTTCCTTGCTATTTTGCTTGCTTTTTTTTTGTTTTTTCGCCTGTGTCGCTCATGCTCCGAGTCAGTGAAGCGGAAAACTTTACAATCCATCAAATTAATGGAGCAATGTGTCACGAGGAGCACTCTGGAGCTGAACCCTCGCCTGGATTCCCCGTCCACTTCGGACTGACAAACCGAGTGATACTGCTCCTTCTACTGTTCCTGCTGCTGGTGAAATGTCATCAACTTGAAATTGTAAATCAAGCAAAAATTGATTGAACAAAGCGCTGCGCTTGAGGAGCCAAAAGAACTGAACAATGAAGTTAAAGGCCCGGGGAATGGGATCTATATCTATGGTAAACTATCAGTAAACGGAGGGGAAGAGACTCTGACAATCTGTTGAATAGATTTGTGCACAGATTATGCACTTCCACCTTTCGGATGGCAAACGTCTGGGGATGAGAAATCGAGGCTTTGTAGTGCAGATCTATGTTGGCAGGGGAATTAGTTCAACAATCGTTCAACATTTGAGCTATAATCTAGAAATGTCCTTCAATAAGCATGTATAAAAAGGAAATTTAAGTAATAGT